TCTTTTAATATATTTAGAATTTTTTATTTTATACATTTAGAATTTTAGATACTTTTGTATCTATTATATCTTTTTATATACTTTATATATCTAGAATTAATTATATTTTTTGTATCTATTATATCTTTTTATATATTTTAATATATTTAGAATTTTTTATTTTATACATTTAGAATTTTAGATACTTTTGTATCTATTATATCTTTTTATATACTTTATATATCTAGAATTAATTATATTTTTTGTATCTATTATATCTTTTTATATATTTTAATATATTTAGAATTTTTTATTTTATACATTTAGAATTTTAGATATTTTTGTATCTATTATATCTTTTTATATACTTTATATATCTAGAATTGATGATACTTTTTGAATCTATTATATATTTGTATGTACTTCATACGTCTAGTATTTTATATTGCCTACTTTGAATATTGTAACTTTTTATCTAGAATGTTTTATTCCATAAACATAATGTGTTCAGCACTAAATCTGGCACAGGTTGAATACGAGAAACGTAAGCCCTGATATGGTCCTGATGGATGAATGAATGAATGAATGAATGAATATCCTCACGCTCCGGCCCACAGCAACAACGACGACGAGGATCTGACTCCGGAGCAGAAGCTGGAGCGGGAGAAGGAGCGGCGCATGGCTAATAACGCGCGGGAGCGTCTGCGCGTGCGCGACATTAACGAGGCCTTCAAAGAGCTGGGCCGCATGGTGCAGCTGCACCTGAAGAGCGACAAACCCCAGACTAAGCTGCTGATCCTGCATCAGGCCGTCGCCGTCATCCTCAGCCTGGAGCAGCAGGTCCGAGGTCAGTCGCTGCAGCATTCTCAGCACAAACTGAGCTCTCTTTTCACTCATTGTGTGCTCAAACTAGAGGTTTTTATTGTTATTATTATTTAAAGGGATAGCTCACCCAAAAATGAAAAGGTTGTCATCATTTACTCACCTTCATGTCGCTCCAAACCTGTATGAGTTTCTTTCTTCTTTTGAACACAAAAGAAGATATTTTAAAGAATGTTGGGAACCAAACAGTTGATGGTCCGCAGTGTCTTCCTTAGTATTTCCTTCTCTATTATGGAAGTCAATGGGGAGCAACAACTGTTTGGTTCCCAACATTCTTTAAAATATCTTAATTTGTGAACTATTCCTTTAATTGGATAATTGCAATATAGTAGTTATATACATTATAATAATTAAAATGACAAAATAATTTAATAATAATAATAAGAAGAAGAATTATTATTATTATTATTATTATTATTATTATATATGCATGTATATTTCATTGGATATTGGATGGTTATTAATTGGATGAAATGTAAATTTTAAAATATATTTATTTTAATTTTTAGATGCTATTATAAGTATTAATAACTCTTTTGTATTTTATATTTAATTTTTATTTTTTATTATTAATATAATTGTAATACTATTATTATATACAATTAATAATTTTAGAAAATATTTGTAGATGATGTTATAAGTATTAATGACTCTTGTATATAGCAAACGCTGTTTATTAATACAGATGTTCTGGATTAGATTTGAAGTATTTTATATGCAATACACAAGTGTATTAATAATAATAATAATAATAATAATAATTTCTGGGTTTATTAATGTAGCTGTTACAAATTAGATTTACCATATTTTATATTTTATATTTAATTTCATATGAATAATATAGTTTTATATTATTACTATTATTATTATGTAATTATTCATTAAAAAAATATCTTATTATTTGTAAATTATATGATAAATACGAATAAATCCTGCATGTAGAAAACAGATCCAGATTAGACAAAAATCCAGATTAGATCGGCCGTATTTTGCCATAGTGCCGCTTTTGTCCTCTGGATGGCGTCTGGTTTCTCCAGGAGCAGCTCAGTGTGTGTGTGTGTGTGTGTGTAATCAGTAAAGTGTGTATTTTTGTGTTCCTCTTTCCAGAGCGCAATCTCAACCCAAAGGCGGCGTGTCTGAAGAGGCGGGAAGAGGAGAAAGTGTCGTCGGACGGTGCTCCGCTCTCATTGGCCGGCGGTCACCACAGCATGGGCGAGGCGTCCAATCCCATGGGACAAATGTAAAGAGCCACACCCCCGTAAATGGTCAGAATATTTCCCTCTACACTGATCTGCTGTTGTACACGTCCCAAAACAATCAAACCTGCAATCACTCGCTTACTCACAATAACAGAATTATTAGGCAAAGTGATGCAGAACGTTTGGATTTCTAATCATTGGTCACATGCCACGTAAACTTATTTAATTAATCAAACGATGAATAGTAATCTAAGGGTGGCGAAAAAAATTAAACCTCTAAAAATGTAAAAATGGGCGCATTTTAACAACAGATTGGCCGTAAGTGTGGGTTATAATTTGTGTACATACAGATTTTGATTTTTAAGATATGTATTATACATTGTTCATTTACAATAAAAACAATTAATAAGGCTAAATGAAGATATTTGCACACATTGAAAGGTGCATGTACACAAAATCACTGACCATTTCATTCAAAAGTGCTGTTTTATGATGATTGTCATGATTTGTTTTAGTCTCCAGATTGTCTGATTTAATTCCTCACTGTTTGTTTGATTTTGTAAAAGCAGAAATAAATCGAGGGAAAGCATGAAAAGTGCAATGTTCACATTGCATTATGGGTGTGAACAGACACATGCAGCTCCAAAGGTTTCATGTTTAATGTGCACTTAATGAGTTTACAACTTATAATTAAGGTGTGAATTAAACCCAGTTCATTCATCTTCACGTTAATTTACAGATTTAATGATGAGGGAAAACATTCGGTAAACAGATATGTTTTTAGAGGCGTTCAGAGCAGCAAATAGAAGAAAAATCTGCACTGTAGTGTCAGTATATGATTATTTTAAATGTGCAGGTTACATTTTACTCCACAGTCAACAGAAGAAAAGAAGTTATATTTTGTATGTAAACAATGTAAAGACATTTTTAGGAATGCTTATATAATATAAATTATTATGTAGCATAATGCAGTATAATTTTCACTACTGCAATAAATTAATGAGAGTACTTTTATTATTTTTAGTTATTATCTTATTGTTTTTATTGTTCAGTTAACTTAAACGATCAAATATATATTACATAAAATATAATATAAATTATTATTTACATGCAGTGTAATATTCATTAATGTACTACATTATTGAGAGTACTTTATTATTTTTATTTATTTACATATTTTGCATTACAGTAATGAGAATTATAAAAATAAAGAATCAAAATATTACATTAACAAAAATAAAAATGATTTACACATAGTATAATTTTCATTATTGCATTACATTGATGAGAGTACTTTATTATTTTTAGAATTATCATAATTAAAATAATTATCATTTTTATTTGCGTATTTGCATTATAGTAGCAAGAATTATTAAATTAATCAAAAAATATATAACATAAATTGTGTTCTTACAGTATAGTTTTCATTGCTATATTACATTAATGATAGTATTTTTATTATTATTATTATGTACATTATTAACATATTTTCCATATAATTATTAATTAAATAAAATTAAGTATTATTAATTATTATAATATAATTTAATATAATATAATATAATTATTATGTCCATAATGTATAATTTTCATTACTTCGTTACTTTTATTATTTTCGTTTATTTGCAGATTTTACATTGCCGTATTAATTAAATTGCATTGCATTAAATGAAAGAATTAAGGAGAAAAATGTGGTTCAATGGCATGAACATGTCGACCTCCTAAAAATAATCTCCATTTACTTTAAGCAAAATACATATTTAGAAGTGCTTTTGTGTTAACGTCTCTCTCCGTCTGTCCATCTTTCAGGTCGAAGCTGCCAGAATTCATCAAAATGATGAGCGATCACTTCCTTTGATAGCGTCATTTCTGCCCCGACCGTCCGTCAAACAATCAATCGACCGATCGAACGAACGAGCGAACGAACTTCCATCCGACCGACCAACTCCTGCGTGTTCCCGTTCCTGACTGCGTCTGTGAGGATTTATCCTGTAAATTAGGGAGTGGCGCCGGATTCGTTGTGCATATCTTCCTCCAAGCATTCCCTGTTGCAAAAGAAGACGTTTTTATGTACGAACACACACACGAAAAAGAGCGACGGGCGATTCTTCAAACATATCATGATGTTGTGGAGGTGTGGAGGGCAGCCGTCTGATTTCAATGGCAATCCTGTCCACACTGTGGAACTTTTGTAGCTGTGCCTCGCGGAACTCCTTACGGAAAAATAGAATTAGGAAATTCCCAATCAGTCGGGACGAGAGGAGCTGTCAATCAAACGACCCAGACGGGATTCGGCTGCAGAATTTGACAAAACCCTTCAAACCTTTGCAATAATGTTGTTTTAGTTCCTGTGAAACCAGCAGATCCCGGCAGTGAACGTTCAGAGGCCGTTCTGGAGCCGCTTTGGGCTCGTTTCGCGAACTTTTGCGGATCACCTACGGAAGTCATTTCGTTTATTTGTTTGTTTCTAGCCATCGACTCTCCCGAAGCCCTCCCGGACACCGAAGATGCAATTTTAACATGTCGAAACTTCAACCAACGTGCCTTTTAGAGCTCATATCATCACACAACTGGAGGAGAACATTATCTAGGATGCAAGCAAGTAGGAAGCGTTAGTCATTAGGTCTATGCAGTCAGGTTTTTTACGGCCTGGAGTTTAAAAAAAAAAAAGTAAAAAGGTAAAAAGGTAAAAAAGTATTTTTTGGATAAACTGTATTTAATGTACTGTACGGCTATATGTAATTAGGAGGTGTGTCCAGCCCTGTGTGGCCCCGCCCACAGCCCCGCCCACCTGTCACCGTCGTTATTGAGCATTGTATTATAGATATCCGCTTTTACGAATACAGGCTTGTTGTTGAGCCGCAGTAGTACAAATGTGTGGTTGTATGTGTAAAATGGCTTTTTCTCTTTTTTAATCTCTCTATTCTTCGTCTGTACTGGTTTCTCTGTCAGAAAAAATGGGAAAAAATGGACGGGAGGCACTGAAAGTGGACACAAATCTATTAGAAAATCAGTATATATAAATGTAGAAATATATACAGTATATAAAGAGACGGAAAGGAGTTCACGAGGAGCGGTTTTTCATTCTGTAAAGCCGAGCGGAGACGTTCCCAACGCCATCCGCTCCGAGAGACGTGACTCTATTTTTCATAACGTCACCGCGATCGTAACGGCGGTGAACGACGCTCTCGCGAAACCACCGGCGAAGGGAAACACACACGGACATTTGTAAATTGTATGCAACAAATGCAAACGTACCATTATTTTGAAATTGTGTATGTAAAAGTTATATTTTTACATGTAGGCTGTTGTTATTTTGTGTTTAGAAATGCTTTGTATCAGTTCTTCTCTTTTGTTTTTTCCAAAAAAGTACTTCATTGTGTGTTGAAACGTGTCACATTGAAAATATAGTGAGAAAAAAAGCAAAAAAAAAAACAAATGTTTATATTTGCGGGAACATTTTTCTTTTCTATAACGGTGGGTGGTGGGGGTCGGGAATCAAAGCTATACGATTACTCTCTCATCCTCTTTCATCATTACATTGTCATTTTTAATTGAGTATTTTTTGTGTAAATAGACGCAGGTCGATGACCTGCCGTTGATCATGTGGCCTGGTGAGGACGTGATTGATTAGCGTTAACGTGTGTCAACAATCAGACCTTAATTTACATTCTTACTTTTGTAAAGAGGCATCGCTGAAAGAATCGAAACGACGACTCGGATGTTCTGCACATTTGCCACCGGCCCTCATACGCAAAATTTAGGCCTGAATTTAATGTAAGTTGCATTTAAAATTTGGACGACACCTTTTTAACACAATCAACTTAATGTGGTGCATATTTGTCATACATAAATGAGACTAAACTAAATGGTTTATACAGTATATTTATCATATATAATAAGCCCATTTTGTTTCAGCTTCACGGATTTCACCCAATTGACTCTTACGGAAACCTGTTTCCACCACAGAAATAAATAAATAAATAAATAAATAAATAAATAAATAAAGGAAATTGCGACTTTCTGTCTTACAATTTGGACTTTTTTTTTCAATTCTGAGAAAAAATCTTGCAGTTCTGACTTTTTCCCCAAATTCTGTTTATATCTCACAATTCTGACTTTTTCTCGCAATTCTGATTATGTCTTGCAATCGTAAACTCGGAGGAAAAAAGTGAGATTCTGACTTTTTTTCTCGCAATTCTGAGTTTTTTTGTTTTTTTTTACAGAACTGCAAGCAAAAAATTCAGAATTGCAAGATATAAACTCAGAATTGTTTTGTTTTTTTCACAGATCTACTTTTATATCTTGCAATTTGGACTTTTTTTCTCACAATTCTGCATTTATATCTTGAAATTCTGGCTTTTTTCTTGCAATTCTGGTTTTATATCTCACAATGCGGAGATTTTCTCACAATTCTGCATTTATTTCTGACAATTAAGACTTTTTCTGGCGATTCAGACTTTATGTTGCAGTTTTGTGTTTATATCTCAAAATTCTGAATTTTTCTCTGCATTCTTTTTGTTTGTTTTGTTTGTTTCCGCCATGGATTAAAACATAAAAATTCAGATTCTTTTGAATTGTGGGGAAAAAGTCAGAGTTGCAAGATATAAACTGAGAATTGTGTCTTTTTCACGAATATCTGCTTTTATATCTTTTTTTAATTCGGACTATTTTCTCACAATTCTGTATTTATATCTCGCAATTCAATTATTTTTTCTCGGAATTTTGCATTTGTATCTCTAAATTCTAATTTTTTTCTTGGAATTCTTTTTGTTTGTTTGTTTGTTTCCGCCATGGAATAAAAAATAAAAAAGGTCATTTCGACTTTCTATTTTGGAATTACAAGAAAAAAATCTGAATTGTGTGCTAAAAAATTTTTTATCCCTGAAATAAGCTTCCATATAATCCTGCTTGTTCCACAGCTAGCCATATTTTATATATTAACTAAATAAATTTAATTGTTTTCGCAATGAACAGATTTATACTGATTTTAATCGATGTGAATAAATGCATTTTGATTATTTATTGATGCCATTATTTTTTGTACAGTATGTTTTAAGTATAGTATGACTGACAGAAATGCATCACATCATGTTTATATGTTAATGTTAAAACTCTTACTGCAAATTTTATATAGCATAAATCATAAATTAAGGCCTAAATATGTTTTTTTTTTTTTTTTAATGCAGTTGCAACATGCACAATGTCATGGGTTTTTCTACTTGATTTGCAGGTTCAAACGATTGCCGAAAACACTCCAGCAAAAGCCTAGTATTGAAAAGTGTGGTACATCTGTACTTTTGCATTGCTTCAGACATGCTAGTGTTCTTGTCCTTCAGTAAATTTTGAACATCTGAAGTTGTATTTTGCCAGTGCTAAAGATGTTTGACTAATTCTCTCCTTGTGCCACATCATGTTGTTGCAGCCAATTGTCGTACAACTGGTCTTTGCTGCTTTCTCAGCGCATTTGTCGGACGGATGCGTTGTCTTTGTCACTTGAGTGTGATTTCAATAAAGAGAGACGATCTAGAAGCTCAAAATATCCTCTATATCCACTGCCAGATCACATTTTCACATCAGTTACGTGGATCGAGTGCTGATTTCAGTGCAAATTTAACACACAAACCAACAATTAAGAGTTTCAGTAAATGTAATCAGCATTTCTGTCATGTTTTCAGCTAAAAACATCTTTAAAAGTGGACAAAAATGATGGAAACTTGTTTGAAAACAGTCATTATTTGTGTCTTTATGACGCACTTCACCTTTAAAATAATGCATTTATTTGAGAAGCAATTTGCTTAAGATGTTAAGACTTGTTTTAAGATAATATATATGAAATTGTTCAAATTGTTTTGTTTTTCTTAATTTAGTGTGGCGTCTGCACGCAAAAAAATACTTTGAAAAATTTTTACTCTGAAATAAAGCAAGTAGATTTAAAACATAATTACAAATAAATGGCAAGTAACACTGAATTAAACATGACATTTAAAACCAGACTAAACTGGAATATAAACAATTTTAACAACACAAATTTTTGAAGGTAAAATGTGAAACAAAAACAAAACAATAATGACAAAAATGATGGAAACTTGTTAGAAAACATGACACACTTCACCTTTAAAATTATGTTTTTATTTGTGAAGCAATTTGCATAAGATATTAAGACTTGTTTTAAGTTAATATATTTGAAATTGTTCAAATTGTTTTGTTTTTCTTAATTTATGCATATGCAAAATTTAGTGTGGCATCTGCACTGAAAAAAATGACTTTTTCACAAATTTTAAACCAGACTAAACTATAATTTTTTTTAATAACACTATGGTAGAGTTGTGAAGGTGAAATGTCTAATGCCAAATATAATGACATAAAATGGTGAAAACCTGTTTGAAAACAGTCATTATCTGTGTCTTTATGATGCACTTCACCTTTAAAAACATGCATTTATTTGAGAAGCAATTTGCATAAGAAATTAAAACTTGTTTAGGATAATATATATATAAAATTGTTTGAATTGTCAACAATCTTCACTTGGAAATTACTAAATTTTACAATTTAAGTAACACTGAATGAAACATGAAATTAAAACAATATATAAACAATTTTAACAACTTTACTATGGTAAAGTTTTGACAGTGAAGTGTATAGTGCCAAACATCATAATGACTCAACCAATGACATAAATACAGTGGAAACTTGTTTGAAAACAGTCATTATGAGTCATTCATTTGAAGAGCAAATTGCATGAGATGTTAAGACTTTTTTTTTTTTTTTTTTACAAAACATTTAATAAAAAATTGTTTTGTTTGCATATGCATGTCCAAAATTGGCATAAATCTGCACTGAAAAAAAACTTAAGACAATTTTCACTCAGAAAATGCAAATAAATTTCACAAGTAATTGCAAACAAACGGCAAGGAAAACGGAATAAAACATTAAATTTTAAAGCAGAAAAAATGTAATATATTCATGTAAAACAATAATCTTCGGGGAAAAAAGTCAAAAAACATTTACGGTGTGGCTAAAAATGCAATTAAACTTAATTTGCTTAATAAATTGAATTCTAATTGAAGAGATATTCTCTGAGAGCAAGTCTAATACTGAATGCAAAGTTAAATATGCAAACTAGTCTTCCATTTTTGACGGTTAACTTTCAAATCAGAAAAAATGGCTTGAAAAAAAAAAAAAAGAAAACAAGATGGCGAATGTAATCCCAGCTTCATAATCGCGAGCGTGTTCAAGCACAACTGACAGGAGGAATGAAACATCTCCAGATCACACAGAATAAGTCTTTCAGCCTTCACTGCGTTTCTTTGTGCAACATGTTTATCGTCGTAATGGTGAGCGTTTATGAACCGTGGCCTTTAATTCTTCTTAGTCGTGATGCAACTCAAGTGAAGAATCGTGACCATCAGAGAATCGCCGTGTTCCAGTGCCTGGATTTTTGTTATAAAGCTTCGTTAGTGCATTTTTGCTATGAAAAAGACGAGTGCATTCGGGAAAAATATCACCTGCTTTTCAGATCAGACTCGATTTGGCGAATTTTTTGCAGGGCGATCCTTTTATACCAGTAATGTTGACAAAATAAGAGTCTGAATCGAGACTGTTCCATTTTATAGAGTCATTCAGATAAATGTTTGTTACTTTATTTAGCTATTTAAAGATGATTTGGAGACGCAGATGTGTTTGAATGAGAGAAATAAAGCAATGATTCGAAACACAGTTACTCGTCCTGTCTAATGTGTGTGTGTGTGATTCATTTTCTGGATTCGTTTTGATTTCTGTTGTAAATGTGATGTTGTTGTTGTTGTTGTTGTGTTTCTCTAAAGCTCATCCTCATCTGTTTGTTCTCATCCTGTAGTAACTCGATGATGTCCATGACCGTCTGTAGCAATAAATGTGACATTTTTATGACCTACGGTTTTCAGCTTTGTTTTGTTTGTTTTATCTGAATTGAAATTTTAGATTTTTAATATAATAAAAGCACAAATGCAGCCAAATTTAAACCAGTTTGCATGAATTAACCAAAAATGTTCGTAATATTTGTATAAAAGAATTGCAAACATGTTTAAAGCGCATTTATATCCAGACTAAACCGACTCTATATGCTAAATTTTTAGATATTATATTTTAGATTTTTGTGCATAATTTTTTTACTTTATATTTAAGCTTTTTAATATAAGCACAAACTGAGCCTAAATATTCCTTTTAAAATACAAATAATTCAGACATTCATGAATTTTTTTTTCTTGTTTTCCAATAACAATGTCTAAACATATTAAAACAAAATACGGTTATGTGAAAAGCAAAACTGCGTAAGACAATACCAGGATAATAAAATATTTTGTCATAAAATATCCTAGTTTTTATATATAAAATTGTTATAATAGTTTATATAGTTTTGTATCTTGCTCAATTAATTTAATCATTAAAAACATTATTTTATTACTTGTGAACATTTTTTTTAAATAAAATATTTCAGACTGAAAAAAATTCATCAGTATTTATGTCTTCCAAAATGACGTCTAAACATGTTGAAACAAGATACATTTATTTGAGACGTAAAATTGCACAAGATATAACAGAATAGCAACATGTTTTCAGAAAATATCTTCGTTTATTTTGCATCTTGCTCAATTGATTTAAATAAATAAATACAGTAATAATAATATTTTTTGTTTTTTAAGAGGTTGTCTTCTTTAAACACCATAAAGATTAACACATTTTTTTGTTCATTTTACTTACATTTAAAAAGAACAGTACCATGGTAACAATAATGTTTTACTGAATGAATATAAAATGTATTTACTATAATATAACAGAAATAAAGGCACCTCTAAAACTGGTATAACCAACAGTGACAAGAACAATGCTTTAAAAACAAAAATGATCAAAAATGTTCAGAGTGGCACTCTTAAAAATAAAGGTGCTTCAAAGTTTCTTCACAGCGATGCCACAGAAGAAGCATTCAGTCAAAGGTTCTTTAAAGAACCATCTCTTTCTTACCTTTTTATAATCTGAAGAACCTTCTTTCTGTTTTTGTGAAACAGAAAGGTTCTTCCGATGTTAAAGGTTCTTTATGGAACCATTTGTGACCCTGGAGCACAACTTTCTCAATATTATGATTTAGTTGCACCCTCAGATTCCAGATTTTCAATAGTTGTATCTTGACCAAATATTGTCCTATCATAACAAACCATACATCAATGGAAAGCGTATTTATTCAGCTTTCAGATGATGTATTAATTGTACTCGCGAGCCTTGGAGCCCTGACCGCTCAGCTGCATTCGGTTCTTCACCAGATCCAGCGGCTGCACAAACACCGTGGCACCCATCCTGGAAGTCAGGACGAATGTGCATTAGCTTAATCACTTTTTACTTTAAAGTCCTAGTCCGGAAGGAATTCGTATTAGCAGCAGAGTTTGGAAACAATCCTAAAGAAACCTACATAAATAAAAAAAAAATCACTCAGAAATTGCTTGTAAATTTCACAAATGTGTCCCTGGAGCACAAAAGCAGTGTTAAGTCGCTGGGGTATATTTGTAGCAATAGCCAACAATACATTGTATGGGTCAAAATTATCGATTTTTCTTTTATGCCAAAAATCATTAGGATATTAAGTAAAGATCATGTTCTATGAAGATATTTTGTACATTTCCTACCGTAAATATATCAAAACTTAATTTAGGATTAGTAATATGCATTGCTAAGAACTTAATTTGGACAACTTTAAAGATGACTTTCTCAATATTATGATTTAGTTGCACCCTCAGATTCCAGATTTTCAATAGTTGTATCTTGACCAAATATTGTCCTATCATAACAAACCATACATCAATGGAAAGCGTATTTATTCAGCTTTCAGATGATGTATTAAACTCAATTACAAAAAATTGACCCCTATGACTGGTTTTGTGCTCCAGGGTCACATTTAGACAAAAAGGTTCTTCTATGGCATAGTAAAGCACCTTTATTTTTAAGCGTGCATGCATGTTTTAAGAGTTTATCTTCCTTTATTTAACCAGGAAGGTCCCATTGAGTTGCAGCATGTCTTCAGGGAGTCCTAAACCTTGTTTTACTGTAAACTGTGAGACGCCCAAAGCGGGCCGGTCCTGTACAGAACGTCACAGACGTGCTTGAGCTCTGAGCTGTGAATCTGACGTCAGCGTGCGTCTCCCTCACTGTCACACTGTCTGTCTGTCAGCTCAGATCCACCCAGGAACTCCTGCGAGAAAACACACACACACACACACACTCAGCACAGCGACATGCCTCATCAACATATGTGTGTGTTTCATGATCAGTTTATGTAAGGAACACATTCATGCTGTATGACTAGATATGTTGTTTAGATTTTAGTGTGTTTCATGATCCGTTTATGTAAGAAGCACATTCATGCCTTATTGCTACATATGTTGTTTGGATTATAGTGTGTGTGTTTCATAGTTAGTTTAGTATCATTTAGTTTTGGTTAATATTTTGAAATAGATTTTATTTTTATACTCTCAGTTTTCACCTTAATTTTAGTTCGTTTTAGTAATTTAGTAATTTTAGTCATTTAATTTTTATTTTATTTTATATTTTATATTATTTTTTATATATCTATATAGTATTTATTAATTGTTATTTATTAGTTTTTATTTAGTTATTTTATTAAATGAAAATTGCCATAAAGTAAGTTTAATATAAAAAAATAGATTTTTATATTTTATTTTGTTTCAGTTAACGTTTATTTTAAGTAATGCATTTTTTTATGGTTTTAGTTTTAGTTAACAATAATAACCTTTGATGTTTTTTTGTTTGTTTGTTTTCAGACAAGTGTAAACAAAGTAATTCTGGCCCTAAATACATTTGTAAAAATCCACCGTGGTATTCAAAGATTTTACCCTAAAATACCCACATTACTACAATAATATTGTAGTAAATGCCATTAAAATAAATAGCAGAAATATTCTGATTCTTATACTGTTTATATGACATCCCATATGAATATATTATGATTTTACTGTTTCAAATCCTATAGACTTCTATTATTTTACATCAAGTCCAATGGATTTGTAAAGAGCTTTTATGGTGCTTTTATGGCCTAATATTCTGTTAAACGGGGGAATAACCTGATATGTGTCTGAACATGATGAGGTGAATGACGACATGCTTTAAGTGAAAGACACAGATACTCTGAAAGCACAATAGGTTTCACTGACTTCTTCTTTTCCCTCCTTATTCAGCATGTTGGCCAAAGGCATGCTGGGAATCCACTCCCCGCTGTGGCACGCAGGAAAAGCGGCGTGACTTCATATGTAATGCAGTAATGCAGTAACGTACGAATAATGCAGAAACACGCCGTCAGGTCAGTCCGCGAGCGTCTGCTGCAGTGCATTGTGGGTGTGGTGGAGGGTCAGGGTCACACAGACTGACAGAATTAATAAACTGATCTGTTAGTGTTCAGTGGCATGTGTTTGAGTGGTGGATTTGTCAGTAAAGATGATTTTGCTGAACTAATGCTCTGTCAGCATTGATTCATCATAAACATGCATGTTGACTTGTTAGATGTTTATTTTATTCTTTTAAACAGGCATTTAAGCTAGACTTAAAACCAAACAATAGCTTAAAATAAAATGAATATTTTGTGCATGCGATTAGCACAGAAAATTATTTTGAACAAAAATGCATGTACTTTTATTGGAAGTCTATTTATTTATTTATTTAGCATATTTTATTACTATTATTATTATTATTATTATTATTATTATTATTATGATGATGATGATGTGTTAAATTCTGGCCTTATTTACTTAATTAACCAAATAACAACAACAACAACAAGGTTTTGCCAAATTTGTATGTTAATTAGAAGTCTATGGTTTCATTTTATTTATTTATTTATTTGTTTGTTTGTTTGTTTTATTTAAAGTGGCTTATACCAATATTTTTTTATTACTGGTATGATTTATTATTATTATTATTATTATTATTATTATTATTATGTGTTAAATTCTGGCCTTATTTTCTTAACATCAAAAATAAATAAATAAATACATTTTAAACACAAATGCTTTGACAAATTTCTATGTTCATTGGAAGTCTATGGAAGTATTTATTTATTTGTTTGTTTGTTTGTTTTAAAGTGGCTCATACCAATATTTGTTATTACTGATGTGATTTATATATAAATATATATATTTAAATAATGAAAATGAAAATTATGTTTATTATTATGTGTTGTTATAAACTACTCATAAATAATAATTTCTAAATATTATTTATTATTATTATGAATTCTGGTCTTGTTTTCCTCTAGTGCTGGTTTTCAGTTTAATGGATGAATAAGGGCATTTTACAGAAGTAACCCCAAAGCATCCAATCATTTATTCTTTGTCTTTTTTTCTAACATTTCTTCATTATATTCATATTCATTGTTGGGTTAGGCATTTTATTGGATCCTGAAGGACTGGCTATAAACGGATCTGACTCTAGAACTCATTCAAAATTCCTTAAATAGTTCAGGATCATTTGAGCCCAAGAAGATTCCCAAATATGGTGAGGAGTAACATCCGCTCTTGTGTAAAGCAGATTTACCACAGTAAAACCCTGCTGCCATTGACAGGCTTTATTTCTCAATGCGGCTGGAGGGGCGTGGCTCAGGTTCACGGGCGTGTCTCAGGCCACGCCCACACGTGCACAGGTGACCCGCCAAGGTGTGAAAGTCACCGCGCTCTTCAGCAGGAACAAACACACCTGAGAGACACGAGAGGACACGGATCTGCTCCACATTCAACGGTAAACTCTCTTTACTTCACTTGACGCTCCATTTACTCCATAAGCGCTTTAATAGATCGATTATCGATCATCTGCGACGCGACAGTGAGTGCTTATGTGCGATCAGCAGGTCAAAGTGCGCCTGAGGTAAAGATATTTATCATTTTTTATGTTTAATATGAAATGTGAGCTGCTGTTGTTTCAGATTTAACAAGTTTAGTAACTTTTAAAGCGATTTTGTATTACAAAAATAGTACTAACTGAAATAGTTGCCTAATATTTAAAAAAAATATATATATATTAATTTTAATCAAATATCAGTAGAAAGTTGTATGACATTTACTGTGGTAATACTAGGCTATATATAAGAAACATGGCATTACCTTGCATCTATAATGGTTTTAGGATCATGTTATTTGTATATTTACCATATATTTTATGGTAAATATACATGTATATTTACCATATATTACCATGGCTCTTTAACAGGACTATATATATCTCCTTGGAAATATACTATGATAATACCGTAATATCTATAATACCAATATGTTTCTTATATATATGTGTGTATAGAAAGTTAGAAACATGGTTTTGCGTGTGCGTGTGTGCGCGTGTGTGTGTGTGTGTGTGTGGTGCTACAATAGTTCATCATACTTATCATTTAGAATCATATTTACCATTGTATTACCATGCTCTATAGGCATTTACCATTGTGATATCTCGTAATGATGTTTTTTACTGCTTGATTTCAAGTGTCAAAAATGGTTATTATGGTTTATACACATACAGTATGTACCATAGCAATTCCATAATTTTGGGATCTTTGAACATGTAGTAATTTCATGGTAATCTGTGAAGTACCCTGTGGTATTGTATATAAATACCATGGTATATGCATATATCAATCGTATATGAAAGCACCATTGCATTGGCTTCCATTACCATCACTGTACCGGGGTATCAGCGTAGTACTTTCTATACGGGAGGTTTAAGGTCATGCATTTGTGTTTGATAATTATCGATCAGGCTGTCTGTAACCTGAGCTCTTGTAAATTGTTTGTGTGAAGTGTCAACATGAGAGATCAGACCCGTCGAGCCGCATCTGTGACAGTAATCATTAAAGAACCGCGTCAAGGTGACGATGCTCGCAGTGTTTCTAGATCTTGACACTGCATTAATTGTTTCCTGGCAGGAGGAATGTGATCCGCCCGAGAGGTGAAAGTGCTTATTGCTCTGGTATTTAACAGGACAGATTCCTTCTTTTCACTCGAGAACGGGCCTCAAACCAGCAGAACTAGAAGGAACTATTGATGTGCTGGGTGTTCACAGACAGACCGAACAATAGCGGCAGGAGCGGCTCTATTGTGGCTTGATAATTAGAGAAAACAAGAAAAATGTTGGTCAGCTTTAGTTGGCTGTTTTTGCCCCGGTGACTCACTGTTGTTACTGTATGTCAGGAATCATTCATATCGATCAGGTTGTATAAAATAGCAGGCTGATCTTTTAAGGCATGTGTTTTTGGAGAAGCTTCTAGCTCAGGGTTTGAAAACAACCCATGCAGGGTTTTTTTTTTTTTTAAACTTCAGATTCCTTCAGACATTGATGAATTCATGACTTGAGCAGTAATGCGTCATTGTGAGATTTGTTACGCAATGATTTACAGCGTTTGACTCATTAATGTTCTCACCGGTGCATGACAAATCAACATTATTCATGAGTGATTTGTGTCACTGTGATTGATTACACGACCAGGCAAACGTGTGGACTTTGGAATTTATATGCATAAGCTACGATTTGGCATTCCTAGAGCTCAAACTGTAGATAATTGGCAAGGTCATGGGTTCGATTCCCAGGGAATGCATGGATTTTTAGACAAAGATTCATTTGAGATGTGTTTGTTTACAAACCTGCATTAATTTATTGATTGATTGATTGGTTGTGGAAGATACTGAAGGCAAAAACTCATCAAGTGCTCTAGAAACGCTAAGATCATGGGTTCTAATCCCAAAGAATGCATTGATTTTTTTGACTATATTTGGTGTTTTTCTTTACAAACCTACATTTATTTGATTTGTTTGTTTGATTGTCGAAGATATTGAAGGAAAAACATCATGAAGTGCTCTAGCAATGACAAGGTCATGGGTTTGATTCCCAAAAAAATATATACCTTGAATGCAATAAGTCACTTTGGATAAAAACTGCTAAATATGTAAATGTAATAATCTTTTTTTTTTTAATCTGAAAACGTCTCATTAAATCCTTGAAATTAGATTTTTAGACAAATATATTTCTGACTCATTTTGTTACAAACCTACATTTATTGTAGGAGATATCTTAGGAAAAACGTCAAGTGCTGCGAAACACCAATATCATGGGTTCAATTCCCAGGGAATGCATAGATTTTTAGATGTACTGTATCTAAACCTACATGTAATTATTTGTTTATTTATTTAGTGATTGTAGAAGTTATTGAATGAAAAACATCAAGTAAATGCAAGGTCATGGGTTCGATTCCCAGCAAATTCATTGATCTTTAGACATATGTATTTGTCATGTATTTGCTTTACAAACCTACATATTTATTCAATTCTTTATTTAATGGCAATAGTAGATATAGAAGGATCATATGGTTCGATTCCCAAAAATGCTTTAAAAATATATACCCTGAATGCAATAAGTCACTTTGGCTAAAAGCCTCTGCCAAATGCATAAATGTAAATTTGATCTTAATTGTAAATACAAGACTTTTAAAAGACTTTTTATTAAATGATTAAAATTAGATTTATTTGACAAATATATTTGTGATGTTTCGTTACAAACCTACATTTATTTACTCATCATAAATGAATGCAACTAAATGTAATCACTTTTTTCTCCATATTATTCTTTCATATTGTTATTTCATAACTCTGATGGCTTTATTATTTATAATGTGTCCAAACGCCTGATTGCCAGTGAATGTTTGCATCACTACCGATGTGAGCTTACAGATCAGCTGCGTCTTTAATGAAATCTGCTTGTAGAACTTACAATTCAATAGAATGCAATAGAAATGCAATATTTTTTGACATGTGTGATGTTGTTTTTACCATGGTAACTGGTTATATTTGAAGTACAATGTCAATAGAATAGTATATGATATGATTAGTGTCATTTAGTTGATTTCAAAGTAGCATGCATGAAATAATGCCATCAATAATGAAACCTGCTTGTAGAACTTCTACTTCAAATCCCTGTGTTTCTTACAGCACTAATGCAGATCAAGCAAAAGTCCAAACTTGCCACATCAGCTTCTTGTAGATTCCTTCAGGTGTTTGGACAAGGTTTGTTGTCTCAGTGGAAATCTGTGAGAATGAGAGCTGATGTGAGGAATGTTTCCTGCTGTTTTATTTTGAGTGATATCAAACACACAGGTACCACCCTCGAACGCATTCTTTCATAACTTTCATTGTGCAGCATGTCAATCGTCTGTAGGGTTGGGTATCGTTTGAATTTGATTTCAATTCTGATTCCGGTTCCGATTCTGCTTATCGATTCCGATTCTTATCGATTCCTAATTCCGATTCCAATAAGATAAAAAAAATCCGTTTAACAAATTTTAAGTCAAATATTTAGATGTCAAACATATTTATTCT